ACTCAAACGACACTGTGGCGTAATCCTCTCATATATGGCTAAATATTTACCGAGCCGTTTAGCGTTTTAAAGTTCCACCGCTACGACTGGAGATATATCGAGATTGGGTCCTCAGGACCCTTATGAAGCAAAAGGGTTAAGTAGATGCGCCACGCTGCCCGCGGCACTTTTTTTTCGTTCGGGACAGCCCCGCCCCAGGGCGGTAAAAGACGTAAAAGAATTTAAACAAAACAACTCTCTCTCACAGCAGACAGGCTCGACACAGGTGCGAACTGGCGCGTGCTAGTACTATCACCGGCACACCACCGGAGCCGCCTAAGCGACTCCGTTAAGAACGGCAATGCACTTAGCTCCGTGCACAATGCCGCTGTCCCCGCACGCTAGCTCGTTCACCGTCTGCCACGCCACGGCGGTGTGGAGAACGACAGACAAGCGCTGCATCTGCAGCCCGTAAAAGAAAGAAGAAAACCTCCAAAGCAAACGAGGATGGGAGCAGCACAAGGTCCCCAACCTGCTGCACGACATCATACATGACGATTCGAGTCGGCATCGCTGGCGCTGGCATCTCTGGCCTCACACTCGCTGGCATCCTCTCTCGCCGGCTCCCGCACGTGCATGTGACGGTGCTCGAGCGGGCGCCGGCGGCTCGCGACCAGGGGTATGGGCTGGACCTAGATGCAAATGGCCAGGAGGCGCTTGCGCGAGCCGGCGTCTATCACAAGTACTGGGACTGCAGCCAGCCTTACTCCGATCACATGGCCTTCTTCCGCATCGGCTCGCACGGTCCTGAGCCCGCCGGGGTCATGTTCCGACCGGCACTGCTGCGCTGGCTGTTTCCTGGGACATTTGCGGCACGGCCGGAGACCAACCGGGGCGCGCTGCGTGATATCCTGCTCGACGAAATGGCGACGCGAGCAAACACGGGCGTCGTTTTCGACACGGCCGTGCGCGACGCACGGCTGCACGTGGACGGCGGCTGCGAGCTGTTTGGCGACGGCGGAAAGGCGTTGGGCGTGTTCGACCTGATCATCGACGCCATGGGTCTGCATTCCACTCTCCGGCACCATCGAGTAGTGGACGCGAGCGGCGGAAAGGCGTTTGGCGGCACGGTCCACATCCATGGCGTCATCAACTCGCCGGAGGCTGCCTGCGGCGCACCGCTGCTGGCACGGCTGCGCAAGTACGGCAGCGTGGCCGGCTACGGGCGCGGATACCTAATCTTTTTGCAGCGCTTCGGCGCCGGGTCGAACGACGGGCGCACGTGCTGCTTCTACCAGCTGAACCACCTCGACAGCGCCGAGTCTCTCCTCGACGAGATCGGCGTCAGCCCACCAAGCTCACGTGCCTCGGGCATCATGACCGATGAACGGCTCGACAAGGTGAAGAGGTGGGTGCTGCATGACATGGGCGAGGTCTTCGACGAGTCGTGGCGCGATGCGATCCGGAGCCTCGATCGTGTGACGGTGGGCGCGCCGAGTTCACACACACTCCTCTGCGTGTATCTCGGCTCAATCTCGGCTCAATCTCGGCTCAATGACCGCAGGTGCGCGGCGAGTTCACACACGGCGAGACAGAGCTCCGCGAGGCCGACGACGTGGCGCTTCCGCTCGTTTGCATCGGCGACTCACTGCTCAACTGCGGGCTGGGCGGCGGCGGGATCCTCGCGATGCAGGATGCCAACGAGCTGGCGGCCCTGCTCGAGAAGGAGGGCGCGTTCGACGACGCGGGCAGGCCCGACCTGAGCTCGCTGCGCGCGGCTGAGGGTGCGATGCTCGCTCGGAAGCAGGAGTTCCACGCAGAAAAGCAGCAGCGCGCGCGCGGGACGTGCGCTCAAGTCGCCGAGCGCGGGCGCGGCCCGACAGAGTGGCCATTCGAGTTGGACGACCTTGGACTCCCCGGGTGGAAGCTGGGCCTGGCGCGTCTGTTGTTGCCCAGGGTGGCTGCGCTCACCAACGCGTGGTACCGCTGGGACGAGTGGCGGCTGGGCAGGGTGGGCGCGACGCCGTCGACGCCCATCTACCCGAGTGTGAAGAAGTTGCTCGACTCGGGGGAGGGCAAGTGAGCATGGATGTTGGAAGGCCAGACGGGGACGTGGCTCGTGGGTGCAACCATGCAACAATGCGGTGTGCGCGATGGCGTGTGTGTATAGTTGCGGCGCCCCAGCAGCGGCGGCGCCGGCAGCGCAGCGGCGGCGCCAGCCGACAGCTAAGCGGCGGGAACGCTCCTGTCCGCGACGAGCCTCGCAGCCTGCTGTCGGGCCCCGGCGGACGCGGCTCTTCGAGCAGCACCACCTCGAGGGGCAGACGTGCCGCGCTGAGACGTCGCGTGGATGCAGGGGCGCAAAGCATACCGGTCGGCGAGGCCATAGCTTTTGCGACGGCTACCGGCAAGAGCGGCCGCACATTGCTCGGTACCCCCCCTGCACTTCTAAGCCCGTCCCTGCTGCTAGGGGGGGGGTCTGACCCCCCCAGCAGCAGAGCGCTGCTGCTGGGGGGGGGGGGGTCCCGACCCCCCCAGCAGCAGAGTGCACTCGCGCACTGGACCCAGCTCCCGCCTCCCGCCGCCCCCCCTCCCGCCCCCTCGGCTCGTGTTTTACAGTAGCGGTACGCTCGAGGCGGTTGTGTTCACCGCGCCTTCGAGCCCAATACACCTTCCGTCGTGTCGAGTGCTGGCGTTTTACTAAAGACTTGTGACCATGGTGAGTCTATCTTGTACTACCACTGTGTACACTCGGTGTCAGAGCGTCGCGCCTACATCAATAGTCTCGTCACCGAGTGATTGCTGGCCTGTGGCGTATGACCTCCGATGACGGTCGCCGGCTACATGAACGGCGGACTCCGCATCCCTCCCAACCACGTGGCGCACATCACGGCGACGGCGTGCTCGATGAGCACAACTCGCGCTCTCGCCGCCATCGAGTTTTGCCGTCTCCGCGCCGGCCACAGGCAGGCCATGGTGCTCGCCTCGGCGGACGCTCCCTGCTCTTCCGCCACCTCCGGGAGGTGACTGCACGCCTTCCCTACGCACTTGATCATACCGTGCCCTCCTTCAGCCCGCCACCTCCTCACTGAGATTGTGTGCCCTCCTTCAGCCCGCCACCTCCTCACTCAGACTGTGCCGGGTCCACCCGCGTGCCACCTCTGTCAAACCTCCGCTACCACGCTCTGTCTGATCTAGGTCCACCCGCGCCACCTCAGACCGTGCTAGGCACCTTGCTCAGACTGTGCTGCTACCGCCCGCCCAGCGCAAGTGCCTGACGCTGAGCCAAAGGGCGCTTCCGCGGCCGCAGGTTGCTCCTCTGGTATGCCGACGGATCAGGGCTCACGTGGGCCACGGAGCCAGACGGCGCCCGGACCTCAATCGGAGCGCAGCTGATCGCTGCCTTCGACGACATGTGTCTCCCACTTCGTGGTTCGAAGAACCACACCGCGAAAGATCCCGGCCCGGTGGTCGGAGACGGCTTTGCCTTGCTCCCGTACTCCACGAGCAGGGCGCACTTTGGCCGTTTGCCAAAAGCGTTGAGGCAAATCGGCTTGTGGATGCAGCGGCACGGGCTCGTCGGTCCCTTGACGGCCGACGGCTCGGACGTTACCTCGGACACATCACCTCTTATGCCTTATGCCTTATGCCTTATGCCTTGTGGGTCCGCCCACATCTTAATACACGTTATGGTCCGACCAAGAGGACGGGTACGATGCACTAGCCCCAGCCGTCGGGGGGGTGTTGCCGGCGCTGGTAGATGATCTCTCGGAGAAGAGCCGGAGGGACCTTGGCGCCGGGGTCACGAGGAACTTGCAAGTCGTGGCCGAGGCGGCGACGGGCGCGGTGCAGAGGTGGATCCGGCTCAATGAGGGGGCACTCCCACCGACGTATGTATCTGTGGTGACTGTCCCTAGTCTCGGAGGGGGGCTTGAAGCTAAGAATATTTTATTTTTTTGAGGCTACGGCGCGCATAATGAAGAGAGAGGAACACATCGAGTGGCTGAGGAAGCTCTTCACTGGGTGGAAAGAGGCTCGGCCGGCCTTGAGGGAGTCGCAGAGGAGGGATAACGCAGGCAACGCAGGGACGGGCCAACAGCCAGTGGGACGAACGAGGGCCGCGACGGCGGCTCAAGCGGGAGGGAGCGGAGACGGTGGGCAGAGAGCGAAGTGGGTGAGACTGATGATGCTCCTTCGACTTAGGGAGCGGTTCAGATGCTGGGCGGGCTTCAGGCTGGTGCTCACGCGAAAAGGAATCGACGCGATGTACAAAGCATACAAGAAGGGGAGAAGGAAGAGGAGAGACGCCGGTGAGGACGAAGCAGAAACTAGCGCAGACGAGAGCAGGGCAGACCCGGGGACTGGGGAGCCGGAGCAGACGGCATCGGCCGCCGAGGGAACGTTGGGAAGAGGCACGAGGAGGGCGGCGACCTCGACCGACTATGGAGGACCCGTCGCCAGACGGCGCAGGGCAGAAGACGGTGAGGCGGAGCAGACGCGCAGGGCGAGACGAGGGAGGGAGCAGGACTTTGCGGAGATCAGCAGGAGGATGTACGAAGAGATTAGGAGCAGCAGGGACCCGAGGGACCATGTGGAAGACGGCTAGTGCTAGTCCCCCATCTCGGGAGGACGACCCCGGCTAGTCGCCGACCACACCCACAAAGAACCCTGCACAAAAATCGCAAGGGCGGGGACCTGTTCCTTTTTACCCATCTCCTAGTAGAGGTGTCCGTTTTATTTATTTATTTATTTACATTAAGGGAGTAAGTATGGAGGCCCAGTCACGAGTCAGCAGCTCGGGCAACTCCCAACTGCACATATGCAGAACAGACATCAAGGCTGGGCTAAACCAGGTGTGATTGATGGAACCACGTCGGTGAAAAACGAAAAATTGCCGCCCCGCGAGACCTCGATAGAAGGCGCTCTTTTTCTAAAGATATATTGCTCCCCCGTTGTCCGCCGTTTACCCGTGACCAGCGGAATTCGCGGACCCGAGGAGTCTCGAGCTTCAGCTGGCAAACCATCATGCCGCTCTCGGCACCGCAGCAGCGCGAGCGCCGCGCCGCGCAGCGCGCTACCGAGGCTCAGGACGCGGCTCGCGGGCAGCGCAACCGCCCGGCGCCGAGCCGGTGCTAGGCCGCCTCCGCTGCGCCTGCTTCCTTGCGCGCCGCTGGACGTCGGCCGAGAAGACCGCTTCCCTCTGGGGACCCGACTCCGCGAAGATCGCGCGCGCGTCGTGAGTGGCGGCGCGCGCGCGATCTCCGTTCCCGGGCACGCCGGTCGCAGTGGCATGGGCTCCCAGGCTCAAAAGCAATCCCGTCAACAGCGAGCGAGCGCCGCCGCTGCTCCTCCTCCCGCCGCCGCTCACCGAGACTCGGTGCCGCCGTTCGCCGCCGCCGCCGCCGCCGCCGCCGCCGCCGCCTCGCGCCTCGCCTCCGTCACCGCCGCCCTCCATCTCGCAGCGGCGCGTCCCTCTGATGGCGCGGGCGCCTCGCTCACCGGCGCCTCGCCGCCCCCCCCCCCCCTTCTCGCGCCGCTCCGCTCGTGGCCGCCGCCTCCCCTGTCAATCCCGCCGCCTCCCCTGTCATCCCGCCGCCCGCACCACCGCCGCCACCGCCTCGCGCCTCGCCGCCGCCCCTGACGATTAGTGAGGAGGTGGTGTTGCACAGCATGGAGCTCGGCGAGCGTTTAGCGAGCCCCGCAGCTAGTGATTGAAAATAGTACCCGGGTACCCACGTTCCCCGACGGCCTTTGCCTGACATCCACACGAGGCATACCATGCACTTTCCTCGTCCGCTCGCGCTTGCCGCGCCGCCCGCCTCCTCGCCCGCCCTGCTCGCGCCCGAAGACGCCAGCATCCTTCCCCGCAGTCCGCGCATCTTCGCCAGCGCGCCTCGCAGCACCCCGCCCGCCCGAGCCAGCGATGCCCGCTCCTCGCCACTCCTCTTGCTGCTCATGTTCTCACCGCATCGTCTTTGCGCTGCCGCAGGGCTACACGATTACATGTCGATCTGCGATCGCTTCAACAATGACGGGCTGCTCGTTCGGGCCATCGATTGCCACCATTTGTGCGAGGTCAACCAAGCAGCAGTTGCGCATTTGCCGCAATTGCAAGCAGAAGCTGCTACCCTGAGCAGAAAGCGACGCTCGGCCAGGCTACCGAGCAGCAGCCAACCTCTGAACTCCAAGCACTTTGCAAACAAAACAACGAGGTATGTCGCCAAGTGCTTGCAGAGACAGCTGCAACCAGCGCCTGCAGCTGTTCCATCCACGCTTGTGAGGCACGACCTACCACTCGCCACCTACTGCAGTGTTGGCGTTGGCTTGATGCTCAGCGCACGAGTGAGAAGAGAGCCGTTCTGTGCGAGCCCCTTCGACACGTGGCATCTCACGCATCCGAAGCGCTACCCCAGGTGCAACGACACCATTGAGCAGCATGTGCGCATGCGTGTCAACGTGCGTCGACACGCATGCCGCTCCAAATCCAACATGAATTACTGGGCCGAGAAAGCCGAGAACAGCAAGCGCCAGCTTCAGTGCTGTTGGTCTATCGATGAGGCAGCGCTGCGGCTGAAAGCCTTCCTGGCCGTGGACGGCTTGAGCAAGTGCGAGCGAGGCAGTGGACTTAACCAAGTGGCAGCGACTTGGACGGCGGGCGATGTGGTTGGCGTGTACTACATGAACGCATCCGACTTCCGACCGGCAGCTGCACTGCGAGACTATCTCATGCAGATCCGCACCAGTCAGAGCAGCGGCCGCGAGATCCAGATCGTTCATCTTCCCACTTGCGTGAAAAAGGGAGCGCGAGACGTTCAACAACGACTACTTTGAAATCGCGCGATTCCTTGGACCTTGCCCCCTGAGAAAGCCCCCGCACAAGTTCTGCGATTCGTGCCCGCTCCCGCGACGCAAGTCACGTGCCGCATGAGTACCGCTCGGTTCGCATGAGTGTAGTACTGGGTGAGTGTCGTGTCGATCCTCGGCGGGGAGAGGGAGTGGGGGGGGGGGGGGGCGTGTGGCTCTCCCTTTCGCACTTGTTTTGGGTTAGGGTTAGGGTTAGGGTTAGGGTTAGGGTTAGGGTTAGGGTTAGGGTTAGGGTTAGGGTTAGGGTTAGGGTTAGGGTTAGCACATGTTTTGGGTCTCTTGCTTTCGCACATGTTTTGGGTCTTGCTTTCGCACATCTTTTGGGTCTTGCCGGCGCTGCAGCACGCGCGGCGGCTGCTCTCGACGGACGACGCAGGGGGGAGCACGCTCTCCCGCCGGAGTAAAGCCGTAGCGGGCGGTCTTCCCGCTACTCGCTCGTATTTGAGGTGCATCCATGCCCCGCCCACCACCTTCCCGGCAGCTCCACCCGCTCGGTGATGTCCTCATCTTCGCTCCCCCCTAGAGCTGTCAAACGTTAACTTTGGGCCTAACAGTTGCACTATTGTTGGCTGAAAATCCTCAACGTTGTTCAAGTGTTCTCCCCAGCCCAAGCTGTTACTGTTTGTTACTGTTGTTACTGTTGTTCAGTGGCCAGCAAGCAGAAAATGCAAAAAAACCCGGGTAAAACCCGAAAATACCTGGGGTTTTCCAGGTATTTTCGGGTATTACCCGCACTGGACGCTGGAGATCGTCGTGGGTCACTGCCAGGCCTTCCTTATTGTTGTTCAGCTGGCCTAACGTTAGCTACTGTTGTTGGGGAGCCCCACTGTTGTTCTGTTGTTACTGTTAACACTAGCAACACTGTTCAGCTCTTAACGTTTGACAGCTCTACTCCCCCCCCTGCCCCGCCCCCCTTCAGGCAAGGCCCTGGCCACCAAAATCGCGCTCTGCGCTCCGTCCGGGAACGGGCAGCAGCGCGACGCAGTTCGAGAGCGAGCGGCGGCGGCGGCTTAGCACCAACCATGTCAGTGCAGGGGCTGGCTGCGTGGGCCCCCGCCACCAGACTCCGTCGGGCTCGCGCCTCCCTGCCCGCTGAGGGGAGCGCAGTGTGTGTGTCTATGTCTGTGTCTGTGTCTGTGTCCCTGTCGGCTCGTGTGTGTCGTGTGTGACTCTCGCAAGCTCGCCTCCCATCGTCCATCGACCGAGTGCGAGCCATGCAGCGTGATCGCAGTGCCGCTCGCAACGTCAGGGGTCGTCCGAGGATTCCTCTAGGGCCCCAGCACGAAAAAAGAAATACGAAAGACCAACGCACCCCACGGGCCTAGACGCAATGGGGTGAAGTCACTTGGGATTTGCACGACGCGGCCGTCGCGACGTGCAGAAGTGCGTGGCTTGCGGTGTACGAGACGGTGGGTGGCTGGCTCGGCTCGCCTCGCCTTCCCAGCCACAGCCCTGGATTCTGGCCCGACGCCGAAGCGGCGCGCGCAGCGGCCGGCGCGGCTTGGGAAGGAGGGCGCGCGCCGACCCATCGACCCCCTAGGGGACCAGACTATGGCCACTACTAGCCTCGCCAACCGCTCGACTAGCGTGTCGAGCGAACCTGAAGCCACTTCGGACGGCCACGTAGGCAATGGAGCGGCCTCTCCGCGCTGATGCGCGCCGCCCAGTTTGGCCACGAGCGAGTGGTGGAGCTGCTGCTGCAGCGAGGCGCGGAGATCAACCAGCAGAGCAGCGATGGCAGCACCGCGCTGATGTACGCTGCCACCAAAGGCCACGAGCGAGTGGTCGAGCTGCTGCTGCAGCGCGGCGCGGAGATCAACATGCAGAACAGCGACGGCGTCACCGCGCTGATGACCGCCGCCTACAACGGCCACGAGCGGGTGGTCGAGCTGCTGCTGCATCACGGGGCGGAGATCAACAAGCAGGGCAGCCGAGGCGGCACCGCGCTGATGAGCGCCGCCAGCCACGGCCACCCCGCCGTCGTGCTCCGCCTGCTGCGGGCGGGCACAGATGCGGCGCTGTGCTGTAAGAACGGCGTCCGCGCTGCAGTATGCCAAGGAGAAGGGCCACGCCGCGTGCGTCGAGGCCTTCCGGCAGCACGTCGCAGAGGTGAGCGGGCCAGCGCGAGGCGGCGGTGGGCGGCGCGGGCGGCGCATCCTCGGGCGAGGCGGCGGCGGGATCGACGGCCGCGGCTTCTTCGGCCGTGACAGCAGCTATTGACGGCGACGAGACGGGGCTGCTGGCGTGGCTCGACAGCGGCGGGCGGGTCAACGCGACTTCCGTGGTAGGCAATGGGAGCGGCGTCACCGCGCTGATGTGCGCCGCCCAGCTTGGCCACGAGCGAATGGTCGAGCTGTTGCTGCAGCGCGGCGCGTATATCAACCAGCAGAACAGCATCGGCGGCACTGCGCTGACGGGCGCCGCCCTCCACGGCCACGAGCGGGTGGTCGAGCTGCTGCTGCAGCACGGCGCGGAGATCAACATGCAGAACGGCGAAGGCTACACCGCGTTGATGAGCGCCGCCACTAACGGTCACGAGCGGGTGGTCGACTCGCTGCTTCAGCGCGGCGCAGAGATCAACCAGCAGGACAGCAGAGGCGGCACCGCGCTGATGGACGCCGCCACCAACGGCAATGAGCGGGTGGTCGAGCTGCTGCTGCAGCGCGGCGCGGAGATCAACAAGCATGGCAGCCGAGGCGGCACCGCGCTGATGGGCGCCGCCCAGGAGGGCCACGAGCGGGTGGTCGACCTGCTGCTGCAGCGCGGCGCGGAGGTTGACGAGCAGAATAGCATGGGGGGCACCGCGCTGATGGGCGCCGCCGGCTACGGCCACGCCGCTGTCGTGCTCCGCCTGCTGCGGGCGGGCGCAGACACGACGGCGCGCGCTGCGAGCGGCAAGTCCGCGCTGCAGATGGCCAAGGAAAAGGGCCACGCCGAGTGCGTGCGCGCCCTCGAGGAGCATGCGGCGGCGGCGGCGGAGGTGGAGGCAGCGTGGAGGGAGGCGGAGAGAGCGGCGGCGGAGGCGGAGGCGAGGCGGCATGCCGAGGCGCTGCTGGCGGAGGAGGAGGCGGAGAAGGAGGCGGGCGGGCGCGACAAGGAGAGCAAGAAGGGCAAGAAGAAGAAGAAGAAGGGGAAGGGCGGCGGTGGAGGCGCTGGGCCTTCGCGGGAGCCCGAGGATGAGGCAGCGCTGACGGCGGGAGAGATGGCGGAGTTGGCGGCGGCGCTCGAGGAGAGCGCGAGGCTGGAGGAGGAAAGGCGGGCGCCCGACGAGCAAGCGTCGTCCTCTTTGGCTGCAGAGAGGCCGCTTTCGGTGGAGGAGGAGGAGCCGCCGGCCGACTTCGTCTGCCCAATCACGACCGAGGTCATGAGTGACCCGGTGATGGCGGCGGACGGGCAGTCGTACGAGCGGACGGCGATCGAGCGCTGGCTCGCGACCAAGTCGACGAGCCCGCTGACCGGCGAGGAGCTAGAGTTCACTCGGCTCTTCCCAAACCACACACTCCGCCGGGTGATCCGACAGTGGCAGGAAACCGCTCGCAGCTGACACGCTTGTGGCGGGGTCACTCTGGGGGGAGGCGGGGGCCCCCGGAGGCACCGTGCGCCGCGCCGCAGTGCGGAAACGGGGCCCCGGCTCTACTAGTCTCTACTAGCACCGACTTTCCGATTAAGCTAGGTTAATCAGAGGGCAGATTTGGAAAGATCTCGAGGAGTACATACAGATAGACCCTCCAACCATCAGGAAACTCCGACCTGATCGGTCGTACTGACCGCCGACAGATCACTCCAGACAGCAGACAGGCCGACGTCTGCACGTGGCCGGCCGGGCGAGAGGCTTGACACGATCCGACCCTGCGACCCTGACGCTGCTGCTCTAGCTATCAGACAACTGCTGACTGCTGCCACAATGTGTGACCGGTGCTGGCCCACTTGGCGGCCTTCCCGGTCAGTGGTGAGGCGCAGTTCAGAGCTGTCGATGGCGCGATGCCGCACTGGTCCCACATTGGTGACACGAGACCACCACGTTTGCCGGTCCAAGAGAGAGGCACTGGCGCTGTCCTGAGAAGGTGCGTGGTCCCTCTTGACTGCCCATGCGCGCGAGGCTGTGTAGGCATAGCCTCGAGAGTGCCAGCAGCCAGTCGCCGAGGCAGTCTGTGACGCGCATTGCGTCAGAAGCGTGCACACGATAGAAGGACACCTTCCTACTGACCGTAGGATCAGGTCGTCACTGAATGCTTGATACTAAGGCCGCGAGCTATGCAGGTGGTCAATTGTGCAGCATGGCACGGTCAGCAGCGCCGACAGGCTGTCGCAAGGCGTGATAGCATGCTGCAAGTACAGCGAATTCCCATGAAACAAGTAAAAAATCGCGCAAAAAAGAAAAAAGTCCCGAAAAAATCGGCGCCTGCGGCGGGCCATGGGACCCCATCTCCCCCCCGCATGGATACCCTCCAGGGCCCCCGCCTCCCCCCAGAGCGGGGTCAGAGCCTGTCACTGCATTGGTTGGCACCTGACCAGTGACCTGACAAAGATCAGAGTGTCACTGACAGTCCTTCTTCTTCCGGCATCCAGCAGCTTTCTCAGAGCACAGAGGGTGCGTGTGAGTGAGTATTCTTGATACGAAACCACGACGACACACACCAGTCGACTCGGCACTCGCATCGGTTGCCTCCATGAACGGCGGAGCTATTCTCGCGCCCACACCACACCTGGCTCCAACGTGGACACGCCCATAGCTGGGGACACTACTAGGTCACGCGTGGCATCAGAAGTTTTATCTCTGGGCCCCGAAAGGCAGTTTCGTGGCCGCCTCTCAAAAAGAAACGAGAGCTACGCGTAAGATCCAAGCGCCGAGTGGGGTGGCGAGGCGACCCCGCTCGGCCGGGCTCGACTGCCCGCACACGGCAGTCTTCACGAGCGTCGTGCTCAGGCATCCGACGCCGGCCCTTCCACGATTGAGCGCTTCTGCTTCCAGACCGCACCTCTCCCGCGCTCGTGATGGTCGACTTCATCTGCGCCGAGGCCGGCCTCTGCAACAAGCTCCGGTCCGTCCTCTCGTACCGCGAGGCGGCCGTGCAGCGGGGCCGCCGGCTGGTCGTACTGTGGCGACTCGGTGCCGCCTGCGACTCACCCTTCGAGGACCTCTTCGAGCCGCTTCCCGGAGTCGTCATGCTGCACGGGGTCGGCGAACTGCCGCCGGCGCACCGCGAGGCGCTCGCCGCCGGCGGCGGAGCGGCGAAGGCCTCCGTGTACGACTCGCACCCGTCCATCAAGTACACGGAGACCGAGGCGACGATGTACGCCGCGCTCTCGCCGCTCCCGCCCGTGCGCGCCGCCGCCGCAGCCAACGTCGCCGCGTGCGGCGGAGCGTTTGTCGCGGTGCACATGCGCCGCACCGACCACACGGCCATGTTTGGCGACCGGACGCCCGACGAGGCCTTCTTCACCTTCTTGGAGGAGCGCGCGCCGCTGCCCATCTTTTGCGCGACCGACAACGCGCTCACGCTCCGCGAGGTCGGCCGCCGCTTCCCGCTCCGGCTGCGCGGCGCGGCGCCGATCCCCGAGCCGGCGGGGGGAGAGGCGGAGAGAGAGGCGGAGGGCGAGGCGCGGCACACGAGCGTCGAGCGCGCGGCGGTCGACCTGCTCACGTGCGTCGAGGCGACCGCCTTCATGGGCACGTACATGTCCTCCTTTAGCGACGCCATCGCGCTGCTGCGGCGGGCGCGCGGCCTGGACACCTCGGACGACAGGCACGTCGTCCGCTCGCTCGGAGGGAAGCACTACGACCCGGACGTCCACTCGGTGGCGCTGCCGCCGATCGGGCCGCCGGCGGGGGAGCCGGGGTAAAGGGAAGCGGGTAGGTTTGTCGGGTAAAGCGTAAAGCCTTTAGTAAAGGGTGTGGATGCTGGGTTAGTGGGTGGTACTGGGTTGAACAAAATCGAGGGACGCGACCCACTTCGCCACAGACGGTCCCGCGCCTCGCCACTATGACGGCGGCACGGCCGCAGCTCGTGTGCGTGCCGCCGTCTTTGTCCGGAGTGAATAACGGGTAAGGTAAGCGGGTAGTTTTCTCCACACACACAAAGTGGTGGGGCAAGGGGGGGCGACCCTCGCATCTCCACGCCCGGACACGGGCAGGAGCCCCACGGCATTCAAAGTGCAAGCACTGGCCCGGTGCACGTGGGTGAGCAGCCTGCCCCTCCCTCCCGACAAACACACAATCGCACTCACCACTCTGGCCATCGAATGACTCCGAATCCGAATGACTCACTGTGTGTGCTAAGACAGAATCTCCGCAGACATCCAAAACGGGCCGTGCCGCGTTTGTGGTGTCTTCTCAAGCACTAGCATCCGGACGCCGCACTCGAGCGGGCGGGTCACATCTATGTGGGCCCAGTGTGCGCACTAGGCGCATATGCTAGTGCTATCCTGCCCTATGGGAGGCAGAGGGATGGGGGGAGGGGG